ATTCTTGTTGGTCCCAAATAATTCAAGTTGATAATAATAAGTGATGTAAGTTGACTCTGGTCGACTAAAGGTAACCAGCTTATGTTCCCAGGTTACCTTAAGTAAGAGAGGTCATTCGGGTGATCTGTGTGGCCACTGAACGGTGATCCACTTTTCCCCACTTGGCTTTAGGCTACGTGAGTTAACTCTGTCACTCTTAAGTTTCTCCAGTTAGCTCTTGATTGATACCAAATTAGTCCAACTGGTTCTATAAGCCTCCAGGTTAGTCCAAGAGGCTGTGTGTGTGTGTCTGTGTGTGTGTGTGTGTGTGTCCAGATGGTTCTTTGGGCTTCTCGGTTGCTCCAGGCAGTTCTGTGTGACTGGATTAATCCCCGTGGCTCTAAAGGTGACTTCAGGTATCTCAGTGTGGCTCAGATTAGATTTGGTATGTCTGTATTAGTTCTAATCTATCCAAGATGTCTGATAGATTACTCCGTTTGGCTCTGTGTAAACTTACCGACTATTTTTCAATCAAACTTTAGTCTAGTTGGCCCTGAATGCTTCGAAAACGAGTTAAGATTTCTCCAGGGCTAATGTATATGTCCCACTACCTGTGTATCTGTCACTGATGGGAAGGATGACGGAAGCTGTGTAGATATCCCTTAGTTGACCACTCCAGCCTTCCACACTGACTCGCCTGCACTCACTCTCGCCATGCCCTCTCGCCTCTCATTTTCGCCACCCTCTTGTCATTCTCTGTCGCCTCTTTCCCACTCACTTACTCTCCTCAGCTCTTACCCACCATTGACACATTCCACTCACCAGTCTCACTCATTAACGTCCAATTTCAACTTGCACCCTCCACTCCCTGCATGCACTCACTCTCTCTCCACTTAACAGTCACACACACACACACAAACACACACACACACACACACACAATTCCGCCCTAACTCACTGCTGTTCTTCTTCACTCCCCGCTATACAGTAAATCCGTCAGACCACAGACCAATAATTCTTACTTTACTTGTTTCTTAAAGTTACAGGAACTCGCATAAATTATCCCTACTTAAACTTGAGAAACGCTACGATAACCTGTGACACACAATACGAACCCGTCACCTTGAACGATTTTCTTTTCTCTATTCAGCTACTTTGTCAAAACTTCTCGCTTGATAAATGTGGCGACTCTTTCCTAGCTGTCAAGATATCTCCATACCTTAGACTAAGTTTGGCATCCACAGCATCTTGACGATTTACCGTTATATTTCTGTTTTTCGTTTATCTTTTTTAATTCTACTCTAGCTGCAGCGTCTTATAAAGGACATTGGCCAAAAATGCTTCTAAAAGTTTGTTGTTTATTTTCGTGATTTACCTCCTGTGTTCCTGCTCTGTTAATAAAGGCCTTGGTTGGTGACACGTGGGAAACTGCTTTAAATTTTTGGTGGGTTTACTCAATAGTCTTAATATCTCTCTCTCTCACACACACACACACACACACACACACACTCTCGACATTATTATTTATCCTGTTGTTGCTAATTCACATAAATCTATGGAATTAAAACCCCACAAATTTATGTTATTGAGAGTAAAAAAATATATATATATAAAACACAAACACAATACAAACTGTAAACTAAACATCTATAATATTTTTTTGGTGTTTCGACGTACGCCTTCCTGATGTACACTTGTTGTTCTAATAAATGTTGTGTGTTCCATAGCAGTGATTTAAACGATGCTGTTGCCTTGATAGATATATGGACATTGGATATAGTTCAGAGTGTGGAATTGATAAGTGCAGTGAGGTGAAGTCCGAGACCTTCAACACGGTAACACGGTGAGAGTTAGCGATACCGTGTAGGTTTACGTCGAGGCAAGGACACGAGTATGGTCCAGACAGTACACACAATATCCTCAGCTGATAGGTTGTCATTAGAAAGTTGTTGAGGTAGTAATTACTTACCTATAAAGCGAGAGGTGTCAGCTATAGGTAGTATCGCTGAGTCACAACACGAGGTACTATAGGATTCAATATCCATGAAACTCAACAAGAGAGATTCCTTCAGGACCCCAGCTGTATCCTACACTGTATAGGACGTCTCCTTTCTAATAGCTGATGTCAGTCATTCTCTCACACCCAGTCATTTCTCTTGCTGGTGTCCCGGATCATTATTAAAGCCATTCTGAATATCTCCCAGGCTGGTCGACTGGTGTGTTTGAGGTAACAGTCTGCCGTCATTAAGCTTGATTGGTGGTTAATTAAGCTGTCCATTTTAGAGGTTTATAAATGAACGCAGTGAGGAACAGCTTGCTATAAGTCACCTTTCTTCATCTTGATTTTTTTTATATTGCAGGTTTTTGTTTACAGTGTTATTGACAGGACTTCTTATCTAATGGGTCAAAATACAAAGTTCTATTTTACTGTCCAATTAAAGTAGAAGGGACTTATAACTTCTGCAGGAGGAACTTATTTCATACGAATTTATGTTTTAATGAGATCAATAAATTAATCATTGTATTATGATTTATAGAGTAATTTGTCTTAACCAGCATTTTATACCGTTGTCGTTAATGTTTCGACTTGTGGAATGAGGCAAATTACCCCTCCAGTTCTTTCTCTGGTGAAGTCATTAAAGACCTGGCCATATTCCACACACCGTTAGATTAGGTTATGTGACACTAGATGTGGAAACTATTGCAGTTATTTATAAAGGGTCTCGTCTCCCGTAGGTATTATCTTACACAATAATTGCTGTCAATATTATCTCAGTATCAATAATATTTTACGTCGTTTATTTGTTTGACCTTTAGTGACCTGAGAGAGAGAGAGAGAGACCTGACCTGGCCTGACCTGTCTTTCCTCACTTACCACTCAGGATCAACAAAATGAAGTGACTTGCGTGAAAGAGAAGTGAGATAGAGAACCAACATTTGAAGGTCATCTAAATACTAAGGAAAACAAGAGGAACCAGATTACCTTACCTACCTCTTGTGTGGGGGCTGAGATAATGACGGAGCCTACACACACACACACACACACACACACACACACACACACACACACACAGAGTTTCAAAAAACCCTAAATTAACCGAACCTAACCTAACCTAAAGAAAACGTGATACTGTATTAATATAAAATTCAGTGTCTACCATTACACTGCCATAGTGACTACACTGTGGGTCTATTACACTACCATGATAACTACAGAACATTCTTATGATGATGTGATTTTTACATGATTACACTGAGTGCCTGATGATAACCTTGTGGCTGTGAAAATTGCCACCACAGGGGCAAGATAAGTCTTCATCATGACATCAGTAGTCAACACCACTCAAGAGGATATAATCTGTTTATAATGCACTAACATAATCTGTGTTACCTGTTTGGAAGTAGAAGACAATGCAATATTTCAGTTTGCCTCAACCAGAGACATATACTGCTCACAGTCTCGAGAAACACCTCTTGAAATTTAATCCATCTCAACTATTATTATCGTGGTGCTTCTAATCTTGTTTGTTTACGTAGCATTGAAGGAGGTGGCGTGTTGAGCAAGGCCCATGTCCTCAAGGCTGTCAATGGGTATGAGAATTACAAATCAGGTGACAGTGTATGACAAACATGTTACACGAGCAGAGGGAGGTGATGAGACACTCTCCCTCCAGCGTTAGCAACTTCCCTCACGGATAACACAAAACTCCCTTGCACGTAAACAAGTTCTCCAAAAAGGCCGACAATCGGATACTTTCGGGGGTTGTTCACGAGTTTGCGGTTGAGACGACTTTGTGTGCTAGGGGACGGGACAATCAACCCCAGAAACTAAACTCTCTTCTAAGCAGGTCCCTTTGTGCCACTGTTTGCAGGGTTAGGATTCTCTAGTTGTTTCTGGGGCTCTCTGCGTGTTCTGCACTGTAGTCTTTACTGAGGCCAAAGCTGGGAGAGGTATTATCAGTTGAGTATACTGTAGGTTGCACACTCAGTCCTCATTTATCAATAATAGTAAGCGTTTTACACCTTTAGTCTGTTATACAGTATATGGCTCATCATGATTAAGCATTAAAATGGCTAACCTAATCTTCCTTGGGCCTCGCATCACGATGACGAATCCAGGTAAAAAAGTCACAGAAAAAAAGTCACAGGAAAAAAAAGTCACAGAAAAAAGTCGCCCCACACCTACGGAATGTGCATGACGCCACCATGAACAACAATGCTCGTACCAACAACATTTGTGAAGGGTGGAATAATAAGTCCTTCAACCTCGTTGGTCACTACCATCCCTCAATCTGGCGCGTCATTGAATGGTTTCAGCTTGAAGAAGCGACAGTGAGCACCATTATCAAACAGGATGCTGTTGGCAACCCACCTCAAAGAAGAGTTCGTCGACGCTATGTGCAGCTACAAGAACGTCTTCGCAACTTGTGTGTTGCTCGACGGGAGGATCACAAGACTGTTACAAATTTTCTTCGTGGCATCGGTTGGAATATTAATCATCAACACTAAATATACATGTAATGCCATGCTATTATGTAAGTTGTTTTCAACGTGTACATGTCATATAAGTACTTCAATAAATGACTGTTTCAAAGGTTTCTACTAAACTGTTATTTGTTTCGAGTATTTATAATGCTATGACATAATGTATGTTGTTTTCAATGTGTACATGTTATATAATGTCAATAAACGACTGACATAAATGTTTTTGTTTCATTCCCTTGTATTGTCAGTAAATAAGCGACTTAAAATACTATTTGTTTAATTACTTTAATTAGTATGTTTGGTGTTTAATGAAAATGTGACTTTTTCCCTGTGACTTTTTTCCTAGCCAAAATTGTAACTCTTTTTCTGTGACTTTTTTTCTGTGACTTTTTTTTCCTGTGACTTTATTACCGTCCACCACGATGACATGTTCAGGATGACGTTAGCAGAAACAGGAAGCCACTCTACTCCACCTTTCATCAAGGTCTCTAGGGTGATATCACTCGATACCCACCAGCGTCCAGCCAATCACACTCGCTGGTGTTTGTACTTTGTTCGTGGAGACTCACCACCGGAATACACATCACTGCCGGGGAGACGACAGCCACATGTAGCACCAATTCGCACTGCCTCTCTGTCGGGGCAACAAGGAGCACTAGAGGTACGGTTAACTCAAACTACTACCCTGTAAGTACAAAATGGAATATCAGTAATGCAGCACTGACTCTCTGCAGGTACAAGTGGTACAACATCCTCTTGGTATTATAACAAGGAAGGGGAAACTGAATCGACATTTGTGTTTCCTCAAGCACTGTGACGGACTAGTAGTGCCCAGTGCCCACTAAGAGAAACATCGAACTGACAAATGTCGAAAATCTTCACTCTATGATTAGTACAATAATGTGAGCAGAGTGAAATATGACATTGAACCAAAAACAAATACCAAATGTGAACTTTATTCCTCACTGCCTTCTTGACTTGAACGTTCAAAGATTTAACTTAAGTTTAGTGGATAAATGAAAATCTGATGAAACGACATCTTGGCTGCATTGTGGTGTGGTCGCGAGTTACACTAAGGCGACGAATTACTTTTAGTTGTTAACGCATTTGTCTTGCTGGAGAAGAGCCATCTGACTGTCGGAGCGAACTCTTGAAATCCTTTCTTCGATCTCTAAGAGTTTTAATGTAGCAAAGAGTTATTGATGGCACCAATTGGAGTGAATTCTGAATGCACAACACCATTAATGCCTCAGAAAACGGTGAACGCGAGTTTTTCCGGCAGACGCTTGGCGTTTTGAATTATTTTGGTCCAGGTGAACTTACGTGATGACATTCTATTGACTGTCTGTTGCTCTCTGGGTCGTAATGGTGCACTCAGTTTTCATCATCAGTTACAATGCTGTCCCAAGTGACCAGAAATTCGTCATTTTTACCTTTATTTCGCATTATTTCCCAACGTTAAACCCTCGAGAAGCCTCATCCGCCTCTTCCTTCATTGCATTAGTCACCATTCTGGGAACTCATTGTCCACACGCTTTTCGGTATCCAAGATTTGTAACAATAGTTTTGAATACGCTCAGGTAAAATGTCAAGATAGTTAGCTAGTGTTTGATAAGGTGCGCGGAAGACACGGTGATTCTGTTTAGTCGTCTCATCGGTGATCCTCTTCAGTAGTTGCTTGTGGGCTGGAGGTCTTCCTCTGTGTTATTCCTCTTGCACTTCAGGGAACAGTAAGCTACTCACATCTAAACAGTCGCCACTATTTACACCTTTCATTCCCCGGTTGTGTCGTTAACGTTAAATCTTTCGTGATGTTTAATACAGTAACATTTACCTCCTGAATATGTAAGAGGTTTACTTATCAGGTAACAGTGTATTTCTGGTTACATAAGTTTTAGTACACAAATAACATGTTAATCATTGTATGTTGAAAAATAAAATGTGAGATGACAAGGACGAAGACTGTGTGTCACATTATCAAGGAACAGAGTTAAAAGACGCAGCACGATAACGAGAAAAAACGTGTATTTAGATATACAAATTGGTTTGAGATAACCGGAGACGGTTGATAAGACTGTCAACAAGGAGACAGATTGTCTAACTCAAGTGGCCACTGTTCACATCTCCGCGTTAAGGCCACCATAAGAAAGTTTTATCCATAACTAAGAATTATTATAAGAAATAACAACATTCACTGTGGGATGATCAGTTGTGTTAGTGATCGTAACACCCAGCCTTGTATACACTGCTGTCATGAGAGGTCAACGAGGTCAAGGATGAATTACCGTATCTTTTCCTGGACTAAAAATTTTGTATTTATCTTATATCATTAATCACCGACAATAGCTGTCACAAACACCCCACCACAGTGAGTTACACCTTACCAATACTCCACTACATGAGTTACTCCTCACGAACACTCTACCACAGTGAGTTACACCTCACCAACACTTTACCACAGTGAGTTACACCTCACCAACACTTTACCACAGTGAGTTACACCTCACCAACACTCCACCACAGTGAGTTACACCTCATCAACACTCCACCATAGTGAGTTACACCTCACCAACACTCCACCACAGTGAGTTACACCTCACCAACACTCCACCATAGTGAGTTACACCTCCACCAACACTCCACCACAGTAAGTTACACCTCCACCAACACTCCACCACAGTAAGTTACACCTCACCAACACTCCACCATAGTGAGACACCTCACCAACACTCACCACAGTTACACCTCACCATAGTGAGTTACACCTCCACCAACACTCCCCACAGTGAGTTACACCTCCACCAACACTCCACACCTCCACCATAGTGAGTTACACCTCACCAACACTCCACCACAGTGAGTTACACCTCACCAACACTCCACCACAGTGGTTACACCTCACCAACACTCTACATAGTGAGTTACACCTCCACCAACACTCCACCATAGTGAGTCACCACAGTAAGTTACACCTCCACCAACACTCCACCATAGTGAGTTACACCTCACCAACACTCCACCACAGTGAGTTACACCTCACCAACACTCCACCATAGTGAGTTACACCTCCACCAACACTCCACCATAGTGAGTTACACCTCCACCAACACTCCACCACAGTAAGTTACACCTCCACCAACACTCCACCACAGTAAGTTACACCTCACCAACACTCCACCATAGTGAGTTACACCTCACCAACACTCCACCACAGTGAGTTACACCTCACCAACACTCCACCATAGTGAGTTACACCTCCACCAACACTCCACCACAGTAAGTTACACCTCACCAACACTTCTACACTATTCTATGAACTGTGAAAACCTCGTATTGTGATTAATGATCTTTAACTAAAAAGGTGAAGGAATGAAAACATTAAATATATTTCACTGACTTATCTTTCCAGGTGGTGATCTCAACAATACATCCTGCAAGATGGAGAGAGTGTGGGTGTGGGTGTGGGCGGTGGGCGTGATGGTGACGGCTAGCGCGGGTCACACAAAACCTCCCAACATTCTTGTCATGCTGGCAGATGACCTTGGCATCGGTGACCTTGGCTGCTACGGCAATACCACCATCAACACCCCCAACATTGACAGGTGTGTTTTGTACCTTATTAACAAAGCTGTTAATTCGTGTAATATGAACAAGTCGTCATTGGTCGTAGTTACTTGTGCAGCCAGTATGTTGTGTGTGTGGTGTGTGGTCATGTAGTTCTCCACATTAAGAGAGGTGTTCCCTGATAATTGATAATACGTAAAACATTCATAAGTGTGTGATACATTATTCTGAAACACAGGGAAGACTATGAGAATGATAACCTGGTGACTTGGAGGTAATGTCCAGGGTTTCATGACTAAGGAAAGGTAGACGAAGAGTGTATAATACAAGCCAGTAACTAAGGGCTTATAAGAAAAGGTTGGTGGTTCAGGGCTGGTGATTAAAGGGGGTGTATTTTGGGTGAATGAGTAAGGGTTGCTGTCCAAGGGCTACTAATTAAAGACTAGTGATTAAGGAAGAGTAATAAAGGGCTGGTGACTAAGGGCTTATGACTAAGAACTAGTGACTAAGGGCTGGTGACTAAGAACTGGTGACTAAGAGCTGGTAACCTACCTTCTCCTCAGATTAGCCTCAGAGGGCGTCAAACTGACCCACCACCTGGCTGCCGCACCTCTCTGCACACCCAGCCGAGCCGCTATGCTCACTGGCCGCTACCCTGCACATTATGGTAAGTTCTACCATCCCTCTTGTTGTCACTCGCCCGTAGTAAGTTCTCTCATCGGAAAGTTCTATCTCTTCTATCTCTCAAATTTGTAATTGTTGATGGACAGGTGTAATTCTTTTAATTCTCTTGGTTATATCTATATCTCCCTCTTATATTTACATCTTATTACCGTGTTTGATTTTCTCTCTCGATATATCTTCTTACTCCACCCCCTCAGGACTCGTAGCTGATGACCTGCTCCTCCCAGTGATCCTGCACGTCGCCAGTCACGCCGCCTTGCCTGTTGAGGAAGTGACCCTGGCCGACGCCCTACAAGCCGCCAATTACACCACCTCTCTTGTCGGTAAGTCCACTGTCTGGCTTATCTGCTATCGCGATCGACTATAGTCCATGTACTTGTCAGTGTAATAAATTTTATTGTTTTATTTTACACTACAATCATAATCAATTACACTTAAAGGTACATCAATCCTCTCGTCGTTACCATGCCAGGTCTACTGACCATGATGCTTGTTTACCAGGAAAGTGGCACCTGGGGATGCACTGTGACTGGCTGGGACGGTCTTGCCCAGGACCTCTCAGCCACGGGTTCCAGTCCTTCTTCGGTATTCCTGTCACACTCTTCCAGGAGTTCCGTGGACCACACCCCTTCTGGAAGTTCCCGTTGGGTGAAACTAAGTTCCAGGTAAGTTTTTTATTGTTGTTTTTCTTGTGGGTAGATGTACAGTAGGTGGACTTATGGTAGGTAACCACTGGAAGAAACGGAATGTGCGTGTCTGCGTAAGTGTGTCTGTGTGTGTCTGTGCGTGTGTGTGTGTGTGTCTGCGTATATGTGTCTGTGCGTGTCTGTGTGTGTCTGTGCGTGTGTGTATCTGCGTATGCGTGTCTGTGTGTGTGTGTGTGTGTGTGTGTGTGTCTGTGTTAAGTTCTGGCAAGGGTCAACTGGAAAAAAGTGGAGTCCCGTGTGAGTAACAGAGTGGTGGTGGTGTGCTGCAGGGGCTCCTGGTGACGTGGGTGGTGACGGCTCTGAGTCTCCTGGTGGCGGCCAAGAAGCAGACGGTGCGGCTCTCCGTGGTGGTGTTCCTCGCCCTCCTCACCAACCTGCTCCTCGCCTTGGTGTGGTTCGTCTTCGCCCACAATTCAAAAAATCCAGAATGTATATGGCAGGCAAGTACCACTCTAACCTAGTCACCTGTTGATCTATCTATATATTTCTATACATAATGTGGAAGAAGAGGACAGTAACCTAACCTAACCTAACTTGTCTATCTGTACACTAATATTTATTTTCTAGAAACACCTGTATAATTTAATTAGATTGAGGCTTTAGAAAAAAATCTTAAAAAAAAATAAAATGAATCTCTTTGGTACCAAGTAAATTGATGCTATGTCATTAAGGACGTCGTATAGGTGGTTTTAGCGATGATCGCGAAAATAATAACAAGCATAAAAAAAATTGGAATATTACTTTACACACCACAATAACGCCTGATATTCATAACGAAGCGGTTATAACATATAGAGATTCACTTCCCGAGTTATTTCAAATATCTGTTGTGGTGGTTGTCTGACGTCACTGTGTACAGGTGTCGCCCTGGATGCATCGACACATCAATTCCATGTTGATGAGGAACGACAAGATGGTAGAGACGCCCATACAGCTGGACGGCCTTTCACAGCGTCTGGTCGAGGAGTCCCGACAGTTCCTGGCTGCCCACGCCAACGACGACCGCCCCTTCTTCCTTTTCCACTCCTTCGCCCACGTTCACACTCCCATGTTCTCAGCGCCCCATATGAGAGGGGTCAGCAAGCATGGCAGGTAAGACCTTGGGACTAGATGGAGCAGGTGGCAGGGTGGTGGTGCAGGTGGCAGGGTGGCGGTGCAGGTGGCAGGGTGGTGGTGCAGGTGGCAGGGTGGTGGTGCAGGTGGCAGGGTGGTGGTGCAGGTGGCAGGGGGTAGTGGTGCAGGTGGCAGGGTGGTGGTGCAGGTGGCAGGGGTGGTGGTGCAGGTGGCAGGGTGGTGGTGCAGGTGGCAGGGTGGCGGTGCAGGTGGCAGGTGGGCAGGGCAGTGGTGCAGGTGGCAGGGTGGTGGTGCAGGTGGCAGGGTGGTGGTGCAGGTGGCAGGGTGGTGGTGCAGGTGGCAGGGTGGCGGTGCAGGTGGCAGGGTAGTGGTGCAGGTGGCAGGGTGAAATATTATACCTGGACAATATGAGGAAGAACATTCATTCGTCAAATCCTTTTCACTGATACTGACTGGACGTTTTATTCACGTCTGGCTTCACAAACTTGTTCTCAGCTCATTCTACGATACAACAATTCAATCACACTTATAATAGTGAGAATAAGAGACTCATAATGCTCTCAAATACCAATAATTAATCGAAGAATATTTCCATAATACTTTATCGTTCGTAAATTCAATTTCCCGACATATACAAAGTTATGCCAACCAATGAGAATCACTCTTCCTTAGGTAGTTCATTCACAAGAACTCCACACTTTACTACATTGTGGTTGTCAGGTACCACCAGTCAAACACTGTGCTGGTATGAGGCTTACTTGTCCTCACCTGTTTCATTAATCCCGTTTCCCATTGTTGTGTTTTATGTGTAAGTTTGTCAATGGCATGAAATCCTTTGTTTGGACGCGTGGGGGGTGACTCTATATATTATTTCTGTCCGTCTGCGTCAACTTTTTTTTTTTTTTTGCTTCCTTGTCACTGTAGTAAGATGAGTGTTGTCGTTGGTCAGGTACGGAGATAACGTGGAAGAGTTGGACGAGAGTGTTGGGGCGGTGCTGGAGGCCCTCAAGCAGTACGGGCTAGAGGACAACACTCTGGTATACTTCACCTCAGACCAGGGAGGCCACCTTGAGGCCGTCGACAGTGATGGACAACGCATCGGGGGACACAACGGCCGCTACAAGGGTCAGTACCATTACCCTAAGGATGGACTTGGTTGCACTAGACATACATACATAAGTGTTTTCTGAGTGCTTTAACCTCCCTCTCCTCTCTCTCTCTCTGTCTATAATAACTTCTCAGGGTCTCCAGTATCTAATTCACGCCGCATTGTTCTGTTTTTTTTCTGATAATATAATCTAATTCACTTACTTCAATAAATCTACTTCGTTTTCACTTAAATAAAATGTTACAGTAGCGAAACAGGCAGTGACAACCCAGGTCGGTCATCACTATCACTACCATCTTACATCACCATTGTCAGCACCTTCTTGCATCACTATCACCACAGTTTCCTTTTATAGGAATTTATATTTTGTCTCCTCGTCTCATTATAACCTAGTGCACACATGGTCCATTTTGTTAACACTATAATCTTTGTGACGGCGGTGTAGGTGGTAAAGTTCAGGGCGGGTCTGAGGGCGCCATCCGTGTGCCAGGGATCTACAAGTGGCCGGGTCACCTGCCCAAGGGCGTCACCGTAGACACACCTACCTCCCTCATGGACCTTCTCCCCACCGTCCTCTCCCTCGCTGGCCTCCCACATCTCCCGAAACTCTTGCCTCGAGCTGTCGACAAGGTGAGTGTCTATTGTTGTTCCTCCTCTGTTTCCTTCCTTCCTCCCCACACCTAACCCCTCCACTGTGTCTTGTAGTCCCCCACCCTGTTCCTCCCCTGTGTCATTTAATACTTATACTCCACAAGCGGCTAAAGGTACACACACACACACACACACACACACACACACACACACACACACACACACACACACACACACACACACACACACACACACACACACACACACACACACACACACACACACACACATACTCTCTCTCTCTCTCTCTCTCTCTCTCTCTCTTTCTTCCAACCTCTACTCAGACGAAGCTTAACACGAGAGAAGATTACAAACCAATAGTTATCCTTCGACGTGTCTATGACCTACACTTGACTAGATACAAGGTAACACTATCATGATAGGTGTCTTACTTTATGAAGAACTGGAAGATGAATGTGTGTGTTTGTGTGTTGGTGCAGGAACTGGACGGGGAGGACATCTCGGAGCTGCTGGTGACTGGCAAGACTCAGAAAGGTCCTCGTGTCTTCCTGCATCACTGTCAGCAGGCCATACACGCCCTGAGGCTTGCTACAGGTGAGTAGCGCTATACTTTCTTCTTCTTATAATTCAACAACATACTGTACTTATTACGTCATGGAGTTGAGAGTGGAACATGACAATATGACAAAGTAAAGAGAAAAGGAGAATCAGATAGAGTTATGTTCCCTTATACATATACATCTGTGTACAGTATTCATATATGCATTATTTCCCTTTTCCCTGTGTGATTTTATCAAGATGCATTTGTGTTTGCATGTATATGTCTATATTCAAGGTTAATACACCTGTTCAAATCTGCACCTGTATGTATAGTCTCGAGTAAGTGATATTTAGGTCATGTTATTAGGGGAAATAGAAGTAATATAATTAAAATGATATAAAATCTATTTAATATGAAATGGATGGGCTGTTTTTTTTTTTACTCTAAAGATGAATATTTACGACGAATATTACATGTATGACCTGTTCACAGAGGAACATGTATACAAGATGTACCTGAAGAAGCACAACTGGTTCCCTGGAAGCACTCAGTGTGGCTGGGGTTATGACGTAGCTTGTCGGTGTTACGGAGAGTTCATTTATAACCTAACCCAGCCGGAGCTTTGGGACCTCCGAGTCGACCCTTATGAAGACGGCAAACCTATCAGCTCCCACACCCAAGAGTATGTGTTCTATGACTACTACTGTATATATTTCTCTTGCCTCACCCACTCCCTCATTCAGTCCCTCACTCCCCCAGTCCCTCACTCCCCCAGTCCCTCACTCCCCCAGCTCACCTCCCAGTCCTCACTCAGTCCTCACTCCCCAGTCCTCACTCTCAGTCCCCACAGTCCCATCCAGTCCCTCACTCCCCAGTCAGTCCCCCACTCCCAGTCCCTCACCCCCAGTCCCTCACCCCCCAGTCCCTCACCTCCCAGTCCCTCACCCCAGTCCCTCACTCCCCAGTCCCTCACCCCAGTCCCTCACCCCAGTCCCCCACCCCAGTCTCTCCCCAGTCCCTCACCCCAGTCCCTCACCTCCCAGTCCCTCACTCCCCAAGTCCCTCACCTCTCAGTCCCTCACAGTCCTCACTCCCCAGTCCCTCACTCTCTCAGTCCCTCACAGTCCCTCACTCCCCAGTCCTCACTCCAGTCCTCACTCTCTCAGTCCCTCACAGTCCCCACCTCCCAGTCCCTCACTCCCCAACTCTCACTCCCCAGTCCCCACTCCCAGTCCCTCACCCCCAGTCCCTCACTCCCCAGTCCCTCACTCCCCAGTCCCTCCCCCCCCAGTCCCTCACTCCCCAGTCCCTCACCCCAGTCCCCACCCCAGCTCACCCCCAGTCCTCCCCCAGTCCCTCACTCTCCCAGTCCCTCACTCCCCAAGTCCCTCACTCCAGTCCCTCACAGTCCCACTCCCCAGTCCCTCACTCTCAGTCCCTCAGTCCTCCCAGTCCCCAGTCAGTCCCAGTCCCCTCCCTCTCCCAGTCCCAGTCTCCCAGTCTCCCAGTCCCTCCCTCTCCCAGTCCTCCCCAGTCCCAGTCCCTCCCTCCCAGTCCCACACTCTCCCAGAGTCCACTCCCAGTCCCAGTCCCTCCCCAGTCCCTCACCTCCCAGTCCCCAGTCCCCCAGTCCCAGTCACTCCCCAGTCCCAGTCCCTCTCCCAGTCCCAGTCACCTCCCAGTCCCCAGTCCCTCACCTCCCAGGTCCCTCCCAGTCCCTCCTCACCCCAGTCCTCCCTCAAGTCCCCACTCTCCCCAGTCCCCAGTCCCAGTCCCCACCAGTCCCAAGTCTCCCAGTCCCCCAGTCCCTCCCCCAGTCCCCACTCCCCCTCACAGTCCCTCACTCCCCAAGTCCCTCACTCTCCCAGTCCCTCACAGTCCCTCACTCCCCCAGCCTCTCATTCCACCAGTCCCTCACTCCCCCAGTCCCTCACTCCTTCACTCTTTCTGTGTCTTGTATCCCAGAACTCTCACTCAACCTAGTCACGCTCACGTTCATTTTCTCCACTTCACATGTTCATTTCAGTATACTGTATCCACTTCCTTACCTTCACTATGCTCACGCTCCTCACCCTCGCCACTCTCAGGGACGTCCTTTATCAGTCAGGGACGTCCTTTATCAGTTAGGGACGTCCTTTATCAGTTAGGGACGTCCTTTATCAGTCAGGGACGTCCTTTATCAGTTAGGGACGTCCTTTATCAGTTAGGGACGTCCTTTATCAGTCAGGGACGTCCTTTATCAGTTAGGGACGTCCTTTATCAGTTAGGGACGTCCTTTATCAGCCAGGGACGTCCTTTATCAGTTAGGGACGTCCTTTTATCAATGTTGGTTAAAAGTTTAGTTTCTGATATAGAAGATTGATGTTGTTATATTGTCGCGTCTCACCCGTGTGTTAATATATTCCTACCAACATAATATTTCAAAACCCTTAATTGACACCCACATTGATTTAAACACGCAGATACAAAGATGTGGTAGGGAAGTTACTGGCGTACCTGAAGAAGTGGCAGGAGAAGGTCCACTATGCCCCCGCACAACTGAGCAGCATCCCGCAAGTCATGTGGAGACCGTGGCTTCAGCCTCACTAATCATCTCCTCTACGGATCCTGATATATATACATGGAAGGGTTCGCACCACTGTCAATACATGTTTGGAAACTGAACTCATATTGATGGAAATAACACAGCGGACATAACAATGTAATAAAATAGAGGCTTTGTTGTAATTTTTTTTTAAGCACAATATTTTTAAATTCAATGAAAATAAGCTAAGTTAACCTTAGTCTCAAACTAGATCTGTTACTAGAACTGATATCATTACTTCTATCAACGCGGATCTGTGCAGCATCTCTGAATGGGGAGATACAAACTTGGTTAAGTTCAATAGTAACAAAACTCAATATTTACCAATTACACTTTGTAAAGTAGACGATCTCCCACCAATTACATTTCAGGACGCTATCATCCTCCCAAATTCTGAAATAAATATGTTAGGCCTCACCATTTCCTCCAATATGTCCTGGAAATCACACATCCTTAGTATAACTAGAGCTGCCTCCCGAAAGTTGGGAATGCTGTACAGATGCCGCAGCTACTTCACTCCTGAGCAGTTGCTCCAAGTATATAAGGGATTCATTCGTCCTAACTTGGAGTACTGCTCTCATATCTAGGGTGGCTCTTCTTCGGTCCAACTATTAGATAGGGTGGAATCAAAGGCATTTCGTCTTATTAACTCTCCTCCTTTAGTCGACAATCTCTCTCCCCTTTCTCTTCGCCGCAATGTTGCTTCACTCTCTCTCTTTTACAGGTACTTTAACGGGCAATGTTCAGTGGATTTGGCATCCTGTGTACCGCCGGCAAGGCCGTGGGTTCGTAACACACGTCTTGCCCGCGGTGCCCACCATTTCTCTGTGGATGTCGGTCACACGAGAATAACCCGTTATAGTACCTCCTTCTTTCCTCACACAGCCAAACTGTGGAATGCTCTGCCTTCTTCTGTGTTTCCATGCTCTTACAATCTGTCTCACTTTAAAAAGCTGGTTTTCCGGCATCTTCGTGGTGTAGATTAATACAGTATAACCTTTTTTTCTATATTTTCAATTTCTTTCCGTTCTTTTTTTTTCGCCCCCCAGGCTCCGTTGTGGGTCGTTTGACCTGTGCCCGGGTGGGCTAATTCCCGTAAAAAAAAAAAAAAATAGCCCCGTAGGTATAAATTTCCATTGTTATAGCAGTATAAACAAAAGGTTATACCCTAGTTGGTAAAAATGGCATTTGTTTTAAGAGTTTAACCTGTGATTATGCTAATTAAGCGTAAAACACACACACACACACACAAGGATATTCTATGAGTTACCATTAATCTTACTTTTACCCTCACACTACACAAACTCCTCCTATAAGTGGCGCCACATCTTTACTCACCCACAAAAAAATCTCTGACAAACCTTAACATTTACGGCTAAGGAAAACCTCTTTATTATTGGTATTGGTGTCACTGGGAATATCTTAATGGGTTGGTAAGGAGTTGGTTGATAAAATACCGCTTGTAAACACTCCACTCCTTCGTCATTTCGTCACCATTAGACCAGAGAGGATGGGTTAGGTTGTTACCCCTAAAATACCATAAATGTAATGTAATGTAATGTTTGTACCAATGATCACCAACTCCTTGTTCTTTGATTTATTTTATTTATTTATTTACATATATTATGGTATATATCTTTATTGTCAAGTGATATTGGTAAAATGTTTTCTCATCAATATGTTTATTTGTACGGCAGCCAAATGTAATGTTGGCGTCATTACTAAGGCTGTAAGGTCAAAGGTAAGTTGTTTCATTTTTAATGCAGAACTGAATATGGGAAAGACTCATCGTATTTTATCCTTTACGAAAATGATAAATATTTTCACTGACATTGTTCTTACAGTTCTGTTTGTAGGTTAGGTTAGGTGTGCCCCCCTCCCCCCGTCCCGGCTCCTCTGCGCTGAGAAATGATCTTCCGAGGTTCAATTGAAGTTAAATTTGGATATATAAGGTTGTGGTGGTATTGAGCGTCCTGCGGTTTCTTCCATTAGCTCCCGAGTGTCTTACTGGGAATCTGAACGTCAATTCATCCCTTCCACATAGCTTCACTGCAGCTGTACCCAGACATAACCTGGTGCATCTGTATGGTGAAGGTAATTTGCATCACATCTTGTAGAACAAAGTCTGATGATAGATGATAGGCTTTAAGTCCTCACGCCCAGAAACCGACCACCATTATTCTTCACTCCCCTGGGTCGCTGCTGATCACAGACCCTCCTGATAAGAGTAACCGGAGCAATAAAAGAGGAAACAAGAAAAAGTTGCGCCCTTAGTTTTACACAATTACTCTCATGGCCGCTCTAGCTGTGGCGCGACCTCCACTCTCAGAGGCCAGACCCTCCCAGGGTAGGAGACAGCGGCGAACAAATCAACGAAGTTTTGGAATAAAATTCATATATGTGAGGGACGTGTGGCGACTCAGCCTTTTAGAGAAATGTCTGTATTCATGTAACTTTCTTCCCTTGACGATAATTTTATCTTGCCTATTATTAGATGTCTGCCCCGACACGAAGACTTTGTTATCATCAATCTACAGTTTACGGATAAATTAGTTCACAGCAGATATAAAATCCGTTAATTTTTAATATATTTACCTCCACAAAACGCACGAGGAGATTATGTAAAGATTTTATTAGTCTAAATGTCGTCTTAGAGTTAAGACTTAGACTGATATATTCTAACTAAACTTCCGCTCACGAGTCCTCGCTCCTCAACAAGTCAGTGGGCCCAGTAGACTATTTTACCCGCGTCATTAAACTCAACATCGATGATCCTTTGTTGTGTTCAACTTGTTTACCGCAGAGGGATGTATATTATCTGGATTTTTTGGTAAATAGAACAACTTGTTTATGAAGCTACAGACTTTAAAGCTCAGAGATTCAATGTCCTTATGTTGTACCTCAATGTCGGTGTCTGCCAACTGCTGTCTGTAACTGTACTATGTTCCTAATTTAGTTGTAGAAGAGAGACAAAGGTGTAATCAGCCCTTCATGGCAATGGGTAATGTGTTAAGACAAGATTCATTCACTTGGTAGTAGTGGTTGGAGAGACTGTTTAAATCAGGACTTAGTTCACTTTTTTGTGTTGCATGTGGCGTGAGAGACGTCTAATGTTAAGCGTTGTACAGTTACATATAGAGGGCAGCACCGACGTTGGTTACCACACTGTCTCTTGCTCGACTCTTGTATTGGTTATTATGGTGTTTGTGTAGCTCGTCTAGTGCTGTGGTTGAGTCTATTGGTGCAGGAGTGTTCAGTGACCCCATGTGTGAAGTGTGGTGCCAATATCTAGTGACAGTAATTAGTGACGAGTGAATCTGCTAAAGTTCCCCTGGATTGACTCTGGCCTCCACTGGCTACATGTGCCTTTCTGGTCCGGGCGCTCCTGATCCTTATAGACACACTAAGTTAAGGTCAAAATGGCTCCCCTTCAGCAGTTGGTGAGAGATCCCTGACTTTGTTGACATTCCTGCCTAGGTGTCTCCTCACCCACCTCACTAAACTAGCTAACCACCGCTAACTGCCTTACTCACTAGTTACTCCTGGACCCCCGCCCGGGTGATTTTTCAACTAGTTATAAATAAATATAAAAAGTCTCTTGAAATACAAGGAAATGGGCATAATTACAAGTGGTCACCTTTAACCCAGGTGATATTTACCTGCTACTCCGAAAACCTCTCGTGACTCGTCTCGCCAAGCCACTTCTGAAAATTTATCAAGCATTACATTCCTGGAACCACCCTTCCCCTTCCTCTTGTAGCCTCATGTATAGTAAGTATCGCACTTTGTGATAGATAGACTAACACCATTTTCACTTGGCCAATATATAAGAAAGATCCAAAATGAGGCAAATGTGCATGGTAGCTTGTGAACTTGGTGTATGAGAAATGTTGGGGAGATTGTGAAGTTTAGTAGGGAGTCGATGTCAATGCAGTATCCTATTTGTCGCCGCACTTCCTTACCAAATGTTTCCCCGAGTATACGAGTATATGTCACTGTTTGGTGGTCGTTCTGGTGGAGCTTAAGTACCACCAGTGTTTGTTAGGTTAGGGTTACGTTATATATTTTTAGAGGAAATATCTGAACCTAAATAGTCGTAAAGTACGTTTGACTTGCCCAGGGCTGCCAATTTCAAGGGTTCAGAACCACCAACCATCTCATGTTGCGGCAATACGGTTACTAAAAATTAACCCGAACGGACTCGCTGTTAATCGAGTTTGACGAATTAATCTGTCCGGATAACTTAAAATTTACCCATTTTTTTGGACTTACTGCTCTGAATGTAAAAAAAAAACAATCCCGAATGTCACTGAAATTAGTGTGAGTGTATCCGTGTGTTTGGAGGCGTGTTTGTGTATGTTGTATGTATAGCTAGTGTACTGGGTGTGGGTCCCTGGCATCCATCCGCATGACCAACCTTCCTCCCACCTGATTGATGAACGCTTTCCCTGCGACTGAAACACACACCAGCCTCGAATCTCGCCAGCACCACCCTACCAAATTTCACGAACACACACATACACACATACACACCAGTTCACAATACAGGTTATCCACAACACCAACTACAGAACCAGAAAACAAAAATTAAATATTATACCTACATATGTATTTGTATTTCACTTACATCTGTTTTTACCATCGTTAAGAACAAGAGAAAAAAGAAAGACTACAACAATAGTTCTTTTTTCTTGGTTAAATAATTAATCACAGTCACAGCACACCGGTCGCTGCCTCCACCAGACAGTCGCCTTCATTAATCTTCTGAGTCTTATTTAATATTCTAAATATTCGGAAGTCTCGTTACTGTTGTTGATGATAAATTATTGCACTTATCCCTAGCGTCTCTTTTATCACTCCTGCAGGAAAATAATCTTGACATCTAGACGATATCAGTCATTTACTTTATGGGGTTCGTTATATATATATGATTCCTTGACGTCCGCCTCCACACGAGTACACGGGGGACACTACACTACACTCCACTACGCTACACCTTTACTATTCCCAACGGTATTATTGTACATAAATTCTTACACTGCCGTTCATCTGTTACTGTTAGACTCCTGCAGGCTACAACAGTGTGTTTATACCCTGTTAATGGATTATTGCTGTATCGGTGAGATGAAGCACGCCCT